CACCAACCAAATACTGCATCCAGGCATTTAAATTAATATTTTCTACAGCTCTGATGTAAAACTATTTTAGTGCATTTTGTTTGTATCCAAGACTTTAAAAAAGTGGGTTCTTAATCTCCTATAACTAAGATGTTTCCATCCAGAACATTCGTTCAGGCTTCACAGGAAGCTCTAGAGCAGAACTCCTGGTTCCTACACATATGGTAGCGACTTCCACTTTTCTAACCACAAGATGGGTCCAGAAAGATGCAGCAAAAAGTACCAAGCCAGAGCTTCAGGAACACCGTGACTTTATCCGCTTTTCCTGCAGATCTGAAGGAGAAAACAGGTTTAATTTACGACACGTAAAGAAATAATCCACCAATGAATAAGTGATTGTCTATAAATGGTTTATTAGGCTAAAATTTGCTCCATATGAATAATTGATAACATAAGCAAAGACTCATGGGTATTTGTAAGAAGTAATACCATACCAGAGCGGAGGCATGCAAGAGCAGAAACATAAATGGATTCAGACTCCAGTCCGGATTATTTCCAATGTTTAATGGATCCAATGATCGAGAATGAACTTTCTGTGGTTCTCCTAATAGGTATAAACTCTGGATAAACTCCTTCAGTTCTCCTAAATTGGCCCATTTAGCCGCGCTGCGTGGAGGAGCAGCAGAACTTCACTGCTGGTGTCAGAAGAAGAGCATGATAAAAGTAGAGGACATTACACTGCATGTTTAGAATAATATAGAAGATTATATGTTAGCAATTAGCATGGTAACTGGAGAAGGCTTTAATGCAGGGGTCACCAATCGTTTTAAGACTGAGCTACTTCATGGGTACTTCATGGCTACGAACTGGAGGGATCAGCGTTCACCTAAACTTCATAGATAATAAACATATTTGTATTGTTTCTTTTTATTTCTAAGTTGCTTTTAGATATTGTCATTTTAACATCCTTATAAATGCTTACATTATTTTATAAAATGCTCTATAAATGATTTAAAAAAAAGAGCAGCAGCATAAAATGACATTTCAAACTCATTGGTGACTTTTTCTGAAGATGCTGAGGGCCCTGATGTGGTCCTTGAGGGCCCCTTGGTGCCTGCGGGCACCACGTTTGTGATCCCTGCTTTAATAAGTTAATGACCTTAATGGAGCCAAGTTTTAACATTCATCTGAGAGTAGCCAGAACCAGAGCAAACTGTTTAAAAGCTCTGCTAAAAGTTCAAAGTCTCTCCCAGCAGTGATCTATGGATTAGACTAAAAACAGAGATCTACATTAGAGTTAGCGTCCACTGAAATAAATAATCCTGACAGTATGTCAAAGTGACTTAACCTGTCTGTTAATGATAGTTCGTTAAAGAAGTTTGTTAGTTAATCAAGTGTTTCACATATTTTATTCATGTTTTATTTATTTGGTAACCTAAAAGGTTCCTGTTTTTTTTATATATAATAAACATGTTTAGTAATCTGGAAAAAAACACAGTTTTTTTATTCGGTTTGTATTTAATAATGTTGGGACAGTACATTAATAAATATAATGTGCTATTTATTATTTAACCTCGTCTATTGTGTTGAGAAAATTGTACGTCACTATTTTATTTTTGAGTTGTCAGGACTTTGCAGAATGGAAGGTTATGCAATATTAAAGAAAAATAAAGGCGTTTTTTTATACGTGTTCGAGGCAGAGCAGGGCAGTGTGGCTAACAGCTCAACAAAAACAAATTTCTCCTATGTCTTATGTGTCTTTATGTGAGTAGGCTAGCATATTAGAAAATATCTCTACACAAGCTGCAGCTAGTGGAGAAGAGTCAGAAGCTACCAGAGTAAATAATGAGAAATCTGCTGCAGGAGAGCCAACATATTTTAAAAAACAATAGTTAGCCCTTGATGTTAAGGAAAGATCCTCTAAATACAACAAAGCCAACTTATCAACCAGTTAATATATCCTTCTGTTCATTTATAATTTTCATCCCTAGTTTCTCTATTCCTCCAATCAAAGTACAAAGGAGACCATGTTATTAACTGTTGAATTTACAGACACAAAGCTGTGATTTTCCCCTTGTTTTATGAACCATTGTGTCTCGTCTTCCACTTTAACCAGTCACCAGGTCACGGGGGCAGAAGTTTCAGTAGAGACTCCCAGACTTCCCTCTCCACAGACACCTCCTCCAGCTCTGCTGGGAGAAGCCCAAGATGCTCCCAGGCCAGCTGACAGACATAGTCCTGCATCCCTTGAACAGCTCCCAAGGGAGGCATCTGACAAAGATGTCCGAGTCACCTCAGCTGACTCCTTTCGATGTGGAAGAAAGGATCAGATCAGTCAGACAAAGAGCGGTTCAAAAAGCCCTTATGAAGACCAAGAAATCAAGGGACAGGTCATCCCCCAGTATGGTGGAGCCGGGCCGGGGAAGGGGCCCGAAGGAGCAACACGAGGCCATCCCCCAGTGGGCCCACCTGCAGGGGGAACCAGTGCAGAGAGGATTGACCGAAAGTCAGATGGGGAGGCGACCTGATCCGCAGGTTCTTAGACTGGCTCTGGGAACATGTTTCATGAACCTTGTGAGGTAACTAACCTCAGCGAAAAATGAAGGCCTTTTTATTAAAACATTGCGAGTGTCATGATGGAGCATCCACAGCAGTCTGGCAGTGAGACTGAAAGCACTTCACAGCATGGCGGGTGGGTGGTTGAATGAAATCATGTTCCAAATAGGAATCAGCTCCTAGTTACAGTGGGGCAAAAAGTAATTAGTCAGCCACTGATTGTTAAAGTTCTCCTACTTAGAGAGATGAGAGGTCTGTAATTTTCATCATAGCTTCATTTCAACTGTTAGAAGCAAAAAGAGGAAAAAATACAGAAAATTAGACCGTTGTTTTTTTAAATATTTTTTTCTGTAAATTATGATAGAAAATAAGGATTAGGTGCACAAGACTGACCTTCGTTGGTGATGACAGAGGTCAGACATTTGCTGTCAGTTTTCTCCAGGTTTGCTCAAACTGTAGCTGGTATTTTCTCTACAGCAGTAATGTTTTGTGACTCTTGCTGGACAACACCGTCTTTTAACTCTCTCCATTGATTTTCTATAAGGTGATGGCCTGGACACTAGAAAAGGCCTTCCAGGACCTTGAAATGCTTTTAATGGAGCTCTTCCTTTGTTGTCTGAGTGCTGTGTTTAACTCATTATCCAGCTGGAAGACCCAGCACTGTTCCATCTTCAAAGCTCTCACTGATGGAACGAGGATTGGGATTAAATCTCACCCTTCATGGCTCCATTCATTCTTCTGTTAACACGGATCGGTCTTCCTGTCCCCTTTACAAAACAGCCCCAAAGCATGATGTTTCCACCCCCATGCTTCACCGCACGTTTGCTGTTCTTGGGATGTCCTGTTTGTGCTCAAAAACTTCTATTTTGGTTCCATCTGACCCCACATTCTCCTAATCCTCTTATGAATCATCCATATTTGCTATGGCAAACTTCAGACGGACGCTTACATTGTTCCTGTTGGTAGCCTTTGTTCCTTTGCGCTCTGCAGCTCATTCAGGTCCCTCCGTGAGCCTTCTGCTCTCATGATCAATTTAACCCACAGGATGAGGTTCCAAAAAAAGTTAAAAACAGTCCACTGGACTTTGTTTCAAGTTTGAAGATATTTTGCTTCCCATCCAGGAAGCTTTTTTGAATTCAATAAGGTCTTGCGTGGGGCCTCAGATGGAGAGGGAGAGTAACGGTGGTTTTGGAGGTCTTTCATTTTTTTTTTTTATCAACTTTTCCCACAGTTGATTTCTTCCCATCTACTTGCTTCCTGTTTTAGATTCTCTCTTCCCAGCTTGGTGAAGATCTGCAGTTTTCTTCCTTATGCCCTTCAGCAACTCTTTGGTTAAGTTTGGAGTCTGAACGTTCAAGGTTGTAGACTTTTATACAGATAAGGACTTCAACCAGGTCTCATTAATAGAGGTGATGATTGGAGGACAGAGGAGCTTCCTAAATAAGCGGTTACAGGTCTGTGAGGGCCAGACGCCTGGCTTCTTTGTCTACTGTTTTCTTCTTTTATTCAACGTTATTTAAAAATAAATAGTTTCTAAATCCAACTGTGATTTCCTGGATTTTTTTATTTATTTTGTTTCTCATAGCTGAAGTGAGCTTGAAAATCACAGACCTCTCCTATCTTTCTAAGTAGGAGACCTTCAGTGATCTGTTTCTGACTGAATGCTGTGTTGCTCACAGTAAACAGAGACTGCCTGTTTGCAGTCTTCCCTAACCATCAATGAATCAGCCATCAGCATGTCTGGATGTATACAAGCTGTGAAACAAGCAACAGTCAACAAAGTAATTTTAATTCATGGCAAAAACAAAACAAATAATCATAATTAAAGATATTTTTCTTTCATTTCAACATGATTGTGCATCATTTCAGCCAATGAACCTCAGATCTAAGGATTCTAATGGACCATTCTGCTGTTTCTTAACGCCTACTGATGGTGACCCTTCTAGCCTTCATCCCTGTATAGATGTGGCCCACACAAAGAGCGTCAGAGAGCGCTTTGAAAAAGTCTGAGGATTTTGCACACTTCCTTTACCTAATCCAATTAGAGCCAAATCATAATCTGTTCGTTTTTTTTTCTATGTTTTTTGGGTGGATTACAGACTGAGACTGCTGCAGACGAACTACGGCAGCACCTGTGAATGACTCATGTACCAGAAGCAAGGAAGTATTGAGTGCCTCTCTGAGCAGGATTCACCCACATACAGACGCAATTAGGGTTATTACTGCCAGAGAATAAAACGTATCTGACTGCTGAAAATGAGGACTGGGATGAGGGATTTACATATTAAAGCCTGATCATATAGAGGGAGGAATAGAACTTCTTCAGCTGGTTTTGGTCGGAAGCTGTTTTTTCTTCTCTCCCTGAACCAAATGTTTTTTGTTGTTGTTTTTTTCCCGCCACGGCGCATCTGGTGCTCCAGAGCATCAGTTTGCAGCCTTGTTTTTCCCAGAAGGGGCGCGCTCACCTCTGTCAGTGTCGTAAAGATAGACGAACTTCTCCCACTTATAGTGATCCAGCAGGCTGAGCACAGCTCCCCTCAAACTGGGTCTCATCTGGATGACGAACTGCACGTCGGCGTCGATGGGGAAGCTGGGTGTGATGAAGGAAGTGTGCAGGGCGCCGCAGAACGAGGTCAGCGTGTTCATGGACTTTCGGTCGTAGAAGCCGAATATGGCGTAAACTCCCCGGGAAAACTGGGAGCAAACTGGTGACACAGAGGGAGGAAAAAAGTTCAGAGCAAGTTCAGGTTACACAAGTAGAAAAAGGTGGTTTAAAGTGTTTGAAGTAGAACTTTAGCAAACAATTCCTAAAGGTTTCACTGGTGTGCATGGGAGTTAAAAAAAATTAAATATAAGGTCACGGTTACAGCTAATCATGTGAGTAAAGTAGCGAGCATCTGAATAAATGTTTGCCATGTTGGATGTCTGCTCCCTGTGACCACGCTCTGCTGCACACTGCCCTTCACTTCTCCTTCCTCCAGATGCAACCGCTTGCTTAATCAGCTGGAAATAATAGGGAAGGCAGAGCAATGGTCACAGCTTTTAATGGACAAATTCCCTGAAACACGAACATGGAAAATATTCCAGTCCTGGACTGCCCTGATCTGCCCTCTAAAAGATTTATAACCAGCTATATCCGAGGCAGTCTGCAGAAACCAGTTATTGTCATTAAGAACATCGGGGACTTGGTGTTGAGAAATATTAGGGCATTTCGTTAGATCTTTCTAGAACAGATTTCAGGAGCATGACAATTCAAAGAGTTGTACTGTACAGAACCAAACTAAGTTTCAGTGGCATAAAGACAAATAATCATAAAGAATCAGTTAAATTAAAGAAGATGAAATTACAGATAAAAAATTAAAGAAATTTAGACCAAAAACTTAAACCACCAGGGTTTAGGTAGTTCAGTCAAAGTTTGCTTTAAACTAATAGGTTTGCAATCTGGATTTAAAGCAGCAGTGTTTCTGCAATTTCAATGTTTTCTGGGAGTTTATTCCAAATTAATTTAATTTAAAACAATCCAGTTTATTAATATAAGGCTAATTTACAACACATAAGGTACTAAGGTACACCTAAGGTAATTTACAGACAGAATTCAACCATATCATACAGTCAGAAGTTTCTATCCAAGGAAATCCAGGTGATTCCATCAACTCTTTGGGCCTCATGCAGTAATGTTTATACAAACATAATTGTGATTTAGGAGAAAATGTTGCATTCGCCAATTTTTTTCTTTATTTCTATTCTTCTCTCAGGCAAATTCTACAAGTGCTCCAGACTGACGTAGGAGTCTTGCATAATCGGTCGGCTGTTATCCAAACTTAGTTTTTTACGAAATTACTGCATTGATTTCATGAGAAGCTGATAGTCACTAAACATGTTGGCATCCAGGGTTCACTGGATTAATTTGATGTTCCTTCATCAAAAACGGAACAGTAACGGATCCAGCTACAATTGAAATAACATCTGGAACAGAAACTGGAGAGAAAGTTCATCAAAACTCCTCCAACAGTAAGACTTGCATTCATTTTACTCCATGACAGCTCCTTGGCTTTGTTATTACACTAAATGTGGATGTTTGAGTCTGAATTCCTCAATTAGAGTTTCATTGCTAACATTTTGATGTTTATGTCTGAGAGAGATGGAGAGTGGATGAAGGAAATTTTACAGATGTGATTTTCTTTACTTTTGGGGGCGAGCTTTACTCTGAAGTGGGGAGCAAATATGCCTTTCTGTTGGTCTGCATGGACAAGAGCAGCAACATTTTTATTGGTCATGAACGAGTGTTTGTGTTGGGTTTTGTGAAGTTGGGGTTTGTGAAGAGAATTCTATCTGTGAAATGCAATTTGAAAAAGAATGAAATTCTTAAAACGTAATCTTGTGCATTGAGAAGTGGCCCGGGACTCACCTGCAGACAGCTGGTATGTTTCACTGTTTATGTAAAGTTTTACCTATTATGAAAGAGGATATCATGGTAAATTATTTACCATCATATCTGAAGAGGATATGATGGTAAACTAACCCTTGCTAACCACTAATGTTGCTCAATTCTATTTGTACCCTTCTATTTGAAACTACAAGTGATTAAACATGAATTTTAAGACAATTCCCGATATAAAATACCACATTATGACTCCTTTAACAGATTTTGAAGGAGACCTTTAGTTGTAAAGTTTTATTGTTCGACATTCTTAATTAGTGACGGATAAATCGACCAGCTGATATTTGATTTTTTTTCTTGCATTAGTCAAAAAAATTGCATTTATTGTTCAGTAGCCATGCCTTGAGTTCCCACAAAGCGCATGTATTTTTGATCCCTTCACTGTCTATCAATGTAGGGGTTTTGGAAAAAATCGATTTGCTGATATATCATGATTTTCGGCTCTCCGATTTAATATCAATCTTTCAGTTACAAAAAAAACAAAAAAAAATTTTTTTTACCTAAAACAATGAGGGAAAATGGGCTACCTCTGCACATCCACTCTGGCAGATGGCGCTGTAGAGCCCTTTTGCTGTGCGTCGCAGAACCACATCTAAAGCAGAGGCAGTCGTAGTGGAACACGAGGACCAACTCAAACCCAAAACAACATGGAAACCAAATATAACTAAATGATCAATATGTTCTGATGAACATTTACAGCACTTGATTGTTTATCTATACATTAAATTTTGATAGCTAAAAAAAAAAAATATTGACATATACAATCATATAGCAATATCGTGAAAATATCGTATCATGACCCAAGTATTGTCACATGCATTATATCGCAGCACCCATGTCAATATTGACCCCTAATCCATTGGTAATGTTTTGGTTGATTTGTTAAATAGAAACGCCGTTTTTGTGTCATTTGGAGCTGTTCTGAAGATATTCCGTTAGGTTACTTGAAGACACAAACTAAACTGTTCATAATTTATCATTTATGGTACGCCAGCATTCATAACATGTATACGAATCACTGTCCCCCAGACATCCGCAGTTATATTTTTTTATATTTATATCTTTTAAAAAAAAGCGTAGTGTGTATGACGTCATCAGAACAGCTCCAAATGACACGAAACTCATATGGGTGAGTAGAACATGATGTAATAACGTAAAATCAAGGGCCCAATGTAAAAAAAAAAAACGGCGTTTCAATTTAATGGAGTGTTTAAATTGAGACTTGTGTAACAATTGTTATGATTTTGTGTAATTTTTTTCATGTAAATAGAGGAAGATAAAGCAATGTAGGATTTCAGGGATCGGCCTTAAAAAACCTGTGCCAGTCAATCTCTTCTCTGCATACCACAAATGAGCGGTTGTTTTTCTTATTTTAAAGGTAAATCATTGAACTCCAATGCAAAATTGTCTTACTTAGCAACTCAGATCAAGGGAGATGTAGTTGTATAACCAGGGGTGTCTGAAGTCAGTCCTCCAGTACCGGCAGGTTTTAGATGGTCCGGATTTTATCAAACCTGATTCAGCAAAAATTCAAATAATGTTTGCTAAAGTATGATAAATACATTTTTCCTCTCGACTTGCTTATCTGTTTTTTTAATATAATACTTTTCAAAACATTCTTCTCCAAAGTTTTTTTAGTTTTGTTTTATATTTCTGCATTATGATAACAAATAAATTAAATTAAGATCCAGACAAGCATTTTTTCCAGTGCAGCCATGCTACAATAAAACCTGAAGGTGTCAGGTTTGAATCCTGGCCTGCTTCTTTCTGAGTGGATAAATGGTTCTTGTTCTCTGTGCTGTCCTGAATTCCCAAAGTGAGGGTCCCCAGGGGGGGGTCACCAGGCACTAAATGAAAGGTCACAAGATGGTTTCACAATGCCTGAGGTATATGGAGGGCCAAAATATATCATGAAATTAGGGCTGGGCGATGAAATTTTTTTTATAAATTCAGATTTTCTGTTTATAAATATGTAACTTTTGGAAAGTCTGGATTTTTTTTTCACCTGTGAACTTTTGGTGTTTCCATATCTTTGTGGCTTTACATGTGTCCTGATAAACTAGCTGCCTGTGTTATAACTGTAGCTACAAACATGCAGTTATATTTTCACTGTTTGCTTTGATTTCATGTCATTTTTTTCCTTTCTATAAAAAAACTTGGAGAAAATGAAGAAAATCATTTGAGATTAGATTCGATATTGAAGCCATATTGCCCAGTGCTACATGAAATAAACAGATATACCATCAAATAAGCGGATCTGTTATTTATCTAATCTAATGATTTAATTGTTAAATGCACAATTTAATATTTGTTTTTTTATTTTAGCTTTGTTTAACCAGGAAAAAAATCCCATTGAGATTAGAAACCTCTTTTCAAGGGAGTCCTGGCCAAGATGCAGCAAAGTTGCATAAGAAACAGAGATACATTAAATTAAATGACAGGTACATAAAAAACATATCAAGTAAAACAATTACAGATCATTGAGGCTGCTTCAAATTCTTTCACTTTCAACTTAAAAGTATTTAAAGATTAAAAACTCAGTCATAATTATATATACCATTGAATAATTAGAAATACATTTTAAATAATGAATAAGATAATTAAATGTTCGTTGCAGTGCTGTTTTTGGTGTTACGGGTTGAAACGTCCTCCTCAACCCCTGAAATGCTGCACCGATATTTGGGAGATGGGTAGATCATTCTTCCTTATTAATTTGCAGGTTTCTCTTTAGTTCAGCTTATTAGAATGAGGCAGACAACCGTAAAATGAAGCGCTCCTCTACATCCATCCATTCTGTGAAACATTTTGTTCCTCTGTCTTAGACAGAAAGGCCCTTTCTCCTAAAGGGCTAATAAAACCAGATATTTTAGCTCCTAAACATCAGCCACCCTGATTCCTCTGATCCTGCTCTTAAATGAAGACACGCATCATTTACTTTAGCACAGAGGTGGATGCTATGCTGTTTTTCTGCTCTGTGTGCTTCTGTTCCGAATAGTAACATATTTCTATCCATGACTAATATCCAGATGGAAAATGCTACTTCTTCTCACTTTTTTTTTCTGCTCCTGTCTTATTCATCGATGTGCGAACACCCACATCTGCCTTTCATTGTTGTTTTTTTTGTATCCTCCAGCTCTCTCCTTTCTCCCTCACCTTCTGTTTAGTTTCAGCTCTCCCCACCTTGATAGGCGTAAGAGGCAGATACAGCAGCACCGTTTTAAACACAGCTTTGAACTCTGCTGCAAACAGCGTGGATATCTGGGA